ACACACACACACACACACACACACACACACACACACACACAGTGTTAATGGACGCACTAACAGGTCCTGACCCACTGTCTTCTGGTTCGGACTCACCTGTCCTCCAGGTGGTCTACCATGAGCGTCACATCCAGCAGTTCTGGGAGCGTCACCGGTCTCTGTTCCCTGACGCCGTCCTGGTTGGACCTGAGGAGAACCTGCAGGAGGACAAGGCCAGAACCATGGCCATGTGAGTCAAGAACCTGTCCTGTAGAACTTCAGGATCCTCCTCCGTTTGTTTGATCTGGACCTGTGGTTCTGATCTGGACCTGGGTTCTGGTGTGGTTCTGTGCAGAGAGGCGTGTAAGAAGAACCCAGAGTGTGATTATTACTTCAGCATGGACTCAGACGTGGCTCTGATAAACCCGGACACCCTGAGGATCCTGATGGAGGAGAACAAGTAGGTCACCTGACCCGCTTCTGGTAGTCCTCCCCCTGGTTCTGTTCTGATGAACTGATGGACTCTGAGTCCTGCTGGACTGTCTGAAGTCTGGTGTTCTGTGGTGGTTCTGACCCGGCCCGTCTTGTGTCTCAGGTCTGTCATCGCCCCCATGCTGTCCAAACACGGGAAGCTCTGGAGCAACTTCTGGGGGGCTCTGAGTCCTGAAGGGTTCTACTCCAGGTCTGAGGACTACATCGAGATCGTTCAGGGGAAGAGGATGTGAGTCACACACACCAGCAGTTAGAGACCCAGGGTCGGTCCTGGGTCAGTCCTGGGTCTGTCCTGGGTCAGTCCTAGGTCTGTCCTGGGTCTGTCCTGGGTCTGTCCTGAGTCAGTCCTGGGTCAGTCCTGGGTCTGTCCTGGGTCAGTCCTAGGTCTGTCCTGGGTCTGTCCTGGGTCTGTCCTGAGTCAGTCCTGGGTCAGTCCTGGGTCTGTCCTGGGTCTGTTCAGGGTCTGTCCAGGGTCAGTCCTGGGTCTGTCCTGGGTCTGTCCTGGGTCTGTCCTGGGTCAGTCCTGGGTCAGTCCTAGGTCTGTCCTGGGTCTGTCCTGGGTCTGTCCTGGGTCAGTCCTGGGTCAGTCCTGGGTCTGTCCTGGGTCTGTTCAGGGTCTGTCCAGGGTCAGTCCTGGGTCTGTCCTGGGTCTGTCCTGGGTCTGTCCTTGGTCTGTCCTGGGTCTGTCCTGGGTCTGTTCAGGGTCTGTCCAGGGTCAGTCCTGGGTCTGTCCAGGGTCAGTCCTGGGTCATTAAAGTGTGTGTGTGTGTGTG